CGCGATAAGTGATTCCTTACGCGTACCTAGTCCCAAATGCATAGTATCTTCTTCAACTTCATCATCAACATTGTTTTCTCGATGTTATCCACAATTTCTTCTAAATTCTGGACCTCTGAACATGTATCATTTTCGGCCGGGTAACTGAAAAGGCTATTTACATCCATTTTATTGCGGTAATCGGGATCATTAAGCATGACTTCGAGTTCATGAGTGTCGTTTTCTCAAGTGTTTTCATTTTAATTCCTTGATGCTTTATGCCCGAATGAATACACTCTTTTATCGATTAAATAATACCTCTATAAAATAATAATATTTCATATTCCCGACAATATTAATTTGGAAAGATTTTATTGTATGTCAGCATTACTTACACATCATTCTCATCACTGTTCTTATACACTTGAAAGAGTGTCTTAGAAGAAATAATGCATGCATTAAATTTGTGTATTAGTTAACCTTATTTGGTTGTGCATTGAAATGTGTATTACTACTACATGAAAATCCATGATATTAGTAATGCAATGGATTTTAATGCATACATTAGCATGGTTAAAGATTTAATCGTCTCTCAAAACCATTTTTTTACATCTTTTCTATGATATTTGTGGAGGGTATCTTAGTAAATAAGCAAATAAAATTTAAAATTATACAATGCATTTTATTTTTAATACATCAAACCAAATAATGTATAAAAAAATAATATTTGCATAATTAATAAAAACATAAAATATACTAATATTACTAATACATTTTATTTAACATTATTTTTAGTATCAAATAACCCCATATATTGCTTTTTATACCTAGTACTCCCTCCGTCCCATTTTATATGTCACATTTTTACTTTGCACTTGTATTAAGAAATGATGTAACTTTACCCTTCTACCCTTATTTAATTTTTCAAGTTTTCAATCAATGAATATGACTCAATTTATTTTGATTAATTAATTTAACGAATGAATATGAATTATTTACTTAGTTTTTCTAAGTTGGTCAAATGTATATTTTCAAGGCTAATAACTCACAAGGGTAAAAAAGGAACAATATGGTAATTTATACATTGATTTTATGAAATAACAAGTATTATGGATCAACTATTTATAGAAAGGGATGACATATAAAATGAGACGGAGGGAGTAATAACTAAACTAAAATAGTACACTCCCAAACATGTTGTTACTGTAATTTTAATGCATGAATACTTGGCTTTCAAAGGAATATGTGATTTGGGTGTGGAGAGTTTGAATCAATGAATAAATAAATGAGTTAGAAAAAGCACACGATTGATCAGAAGTTCACTGCAAAGAAAGAAAAAGAAACATAGGCATGTCTATATAGTCAGTCAGACAGACACTTTTTTCAAGTTCAATTAAATACTGCCATTAGAATTGTGCATTTAATGTGTCTTCTCTTCGAGGCATTGACCAAAACAAAGTATTTAATGCCCTTTACCTCTTTATTCACATTTAACTATGTTTATGTACAACTAATTGGGATATTATAATACCTGCAGACAGTACTACATATGCTCTCCTTTTGTTTTCAAAGTTTTTGGTAACAACGTAGTAACAAATTGGTTTGAGTTAAAAGAAGAAATTGAAGTCATGTACTATTTGTTTGAAGAGAGAAGTATCAAAAATATCTTTAAATTTGACGTGATTTATTAATTTTATTATTGAACTTAAATACATTTACGATCTTGCCACATGAGTAAAATACACTTTTAAATTCTCGCCAAATTTAGGGTGTTTTTAACACTTCTCTCGACTTTTTGTTAAGAGCTCCGTGCTTTCACAAGAGTTTGATATAACTTATTATGTCATGTGGCAGATCAAGGATGTATCGGAGGTGTAGCTAAGTTTAGTTAGCAAAAAAAAAGGGTGTTTTTAAAAATGTCAATAATTCTAAAACAAAACTAAAAATTTGCACCAAGTTAAATGATATTTCCGTTTAAACTATCGGACATGTACAAATGTTTGCAATCATTCTCAATTGTGCATGCAACAGAGTTTTCTTTCCCCCCCTTTTTGGGTTTTGATTCATTTTAAAATAAATGGGATAAAAGGCTTCGCAGAGATGGACCTGCAGATGTAAAACCCAAATCTCAAAGAGGAATACTAATGTGATTAAATGAAAAAGAAAGGGACATTTGAAATGCTCTGAGTTTTTTTTTTTTACTCCCTTCATTCATTTTTATACGTCATCTTTACTATAAATAGTTGGTTTATAATATTTGTCACTTTATAAAATTAATGCATAAATTATAATATTCTTCCTATTTTATTTTTGTGAGTTATTAGCTTTGAAAATACATATTTGACTAACATAGAAAAACTAAGTGAATAATTCATGTTCATTGGTCAAATTAATCAATCAAAATAAATTAATTCATATTCATTGATTGAACAGTTGACTTAAAAAAAAATTAAATAAGGATAGAATAGTAAACTTATTTAATTTCTTAATGCACGTGAAATAAAAAAATGATGACATACAAATAGAAACGGAGGGAGTACTATATTTTACTCCCTCCATTTCATATTAATTGAATTGTTGAGGTGTTTCACATCCTTTAAGAAAAGAAAATTAAAACATAAATTAGGTATAACTTTCCACTTTTACCCTTATTAATTATTGTCAAATTTATGATTAAAATAACTAAACATTAATTAATAACTAATTCCAATACTAACTAATGAAGGGTAAAATTGGAAGAACATTTTAAAAGTAGTCTAGAAAATTGAACAATTAAGTTAATTTGAGAAATGAAAAATGCCTCAACAATTAAATTAATATGAAATGGAGGGAGTATAAATTTTCCTATCATTACCAAAATTAAAAAAATCCTTCTTTTCCCCAAAACTTATCCTTTTTCGGATACATTACTTTTCCAACTCCCAACTTTACGATTTCTCTTCCTATTATCATGCCTATAATCACAACAATTATCTTCATCATTCCATTTTAGAATTTCGAATTTCTTCTCTGTTCAGTCAATCGATTTCAACTTGCTCAATAGGTAGTTCTTCTTCATCCAATTTGATCTTTACAGTTCATCGCTTTACATATTTTATTTTAAAAAAAGTTTATTTTTCATCTACAAATTTCTAATACATATGGACAATACTCCATCTTTTAGTATATATTGGGATTATCCAATCAGTCTCAACTAATGTATGTCGTGTTTTTTATTCTTGCGATGAAGATTTTACTGAAAATAGATTCAAACAAAGACACGATCCATTATTAATTAAGAATCTGAGTTTGGAGAAGTCAAATCGAAAAAGGTTGCACCTTCGACTTCTAAAGTTACAATGAAACAAACTTCCTAAAAAGGGACAAAAAAAGTTGGATCTGCATAATCCTGCCCAACTCTACCTAAGGTACATATTTTCAATGTATCTACTTAATTTTGATTTCTACTCTACCTTTGTTAGTGGTTTCAATGTTTTGATACATTAGTCTATTTAATTCAATGTATCAAATTTAAATTTAATGTTTTAATACATAAAACCTAAATTTGTTCAATGTTTGAATAGTTGTTATAATGTTCAATACAAATGTACTTTATACATAAATAATACCTAATGTATGATTTACCTTATATCAAGTTCTAAAATGTATCTTTAATATTGTACTGTAATCTGGAGTCTTGTTTATCAGATACAAATATACGATACATCCAAGTTGCAATGCTGTCTTCTTCATTATGCAATGGATCATGTTTTAAAATTAATGTTTTGATATACAAATATTCTTTTTGTTGTTGTTGTTGTAGACCTACACTAAATAGATAACTATATTAATGCTTTTTCTTTCTATTTTTTTAAGATTTTATGACACCTCAAATGATAAAGAAATACAGAATACAATCTACATACACGAATTAATATAATAACTTTAATCGCTTAAACCTAAAAAAATACAGATATAGAGATGAACATATAGCATTCAACCTAAAAACACGTATGACTACAACAACTACAATCACTTGTATTTTTGATTTTTCACAAATGAATATAAATGATATGCGAGTGAATAGATACAAGAGCGAATGAATATAATCTCCTGCGTTCTGTATTTGTTGATACAACCTAAATGCGTGAACAGATACAAGTGAAATTAGAGCAAATGAATACAAGTGATTCAAGAACGATAAATTTATAAGTGAAACTAGAGTGAATGAATACAATCTCTGGTATCTTTTATTGTTTGTATCTTTGTATACATGTGAAACTGTATTTGTCAATATAAAATGTATCTGTCGATACCACCAGTATTCATCGATACAACCTAAATACACGTAGGAATATCAAAAATATACCCTGCCTACCACTTCAAAAAATATAAAAACGTAGAGGTGGAAATATAGAATACGCACGGAGAGAGGATACGACCTACATGCATGCACAGAGAATACAACAAATGCAATCACTTGACTCAAAAAATATAGAAATATAGCAGAAGAGGTGAAACTACATAATACAACCTAAATGCACGTACGGATATAACAAATACAATCGTTTGACACCTCAAAAAAATATACAAATATAGAGAGAGGTGAAAATACATAATACAACCTAAATGCACGTATGAATACACCAAACATAATCACCTGACAACTTATAAAATATACAAATAAAGAGAGAGGTGGAAATACAAAATAAAGAGAGGTAGTGAGAGCAGGGGAAAGAGAGAGGATACAACCAAAATGCACATATGAATACAACAAATACAATCGATTAATACCTCAAAAAATATCGAAATACAAAGAAAGAAGGGTGAAAGTACAAAATACACAGAGAGGTAAAGAAAGAGAGAGACATGAAGAGACGCGAGAAAGATTGAGGAGAGACTAGAGAGGCAAATTTATTTGTTTTGCTTAGCATCTCAAACAGTGGCTATGAATTGTAAACACTCAAACTATAGCTAAAAATCTCTAATGACCAAACGATAATTATTTTTAAAATTTTCTCTATTTGATACTAGAGATAGAAAGAGAAAAATATAATAAAACTCTCTTAATCTTTTAAATTAAATAAGTAATATGAAATACCTATATTTTGTATAGGGACCAAATAATGTGGAACACTACATTACCATTTATAATCACCTTAACAAACGCCAAGCCGTCTAATATAGAAGCTAGTAACTTTATTTGATCTGGATATATTTTATTGCCACATCAAGCATTTAAATGAACACAGGCAAAGAGCATCGGGTATAGTTTGCAAATCAGCAGTAATTCAAAAACTTAGGCATGCTGAGATCATCTGCAAGAAAAAAAGGACCGCAGCAATAAGGAGAAGCTCAAGTTGCAAATCAGCATTAGGAAGAACAACTCTTTATTGCATCATATTTTTCATCTAGTATTTCAAGTGACAGTAGACTTATTAATAGTGTTTATACAAATCACATGACTAGTGATAAAAAGCTTTTCAAAAGGCTTGATAGTATAACAACATCAAGAGTCAGGATTGGAAATGAAGAATACCTCTTTGCAAAAGGAAAGGAGACTGTAGCTATTGAGAGTTATATAGTTACAAAACTTATTTGTGAAGTTTTGTTTGTTTCTGAACTTGACCAGAATTTGTTAAGTGTTGGACACCTGCTTGAAAATAAATTCAAATTATTTTTTGAATATAAGGCGTGTCTGATAATCGATCCAAGTGGCCGGTAAGGAACTATTTAGAATTAAAATGTAGGGTAAAAGCTTTTCCTTGAATCCAATGACAAAGAACAAAAAGTTTTTCACTATAGGAAAACTGTGTATTACATGGGGATTTTCGTAGGGATTTGTATGAAAATTCGCAGGAAACTTATTTTCCTGCAAATTTTCATACTAATCCCTAGGAAAATCCCCATGTAATTCACCCTTTTCTTATAGTGTTTCAAGTAAGTTTACTGTTGCAGAAACTTGACACAAACAGTTGGGTCTCTTCTACCACAGAGCGTTTTTGTATATACAAAAAAAAGGATTGGTAAAAAGTTTACCTCTATGTGAAGAGGAACTCCCAAGTTGTGAGGTATGTCAATTTGGTTAGAGACAAGGTTGACATTCTCAAAATCAACTTGGAGAGCGACTCAAAAATTACAGTTGATTCATACAGATCTTGGAACCCCCTAAAAAACTCCATCATTGAAAGGAAGCAAGTATGCATAATTTTTATTGATGATCTAACAAGGATGTGTTGGATATACTTCTTAAGATTCAAATAGGAGGAATATGAAGTTTTTTGAAAACTCAAAGCCTCGATGGGAAATCAAAGAGACTGCAAATTACAAGTGCTCAGATCAGATTATGGGACTGAGTACACTTCAGATCAGTTCAATTTTTTTGTGAAGTTGTTGAAATAGAGCATCAACTTACTACTCCATATACTCCCCAGCAAAATAGGGTAAGTGAAGAGAAGAATAGGACTATCATGGAGATGTCAAGATATATGTTGCACGAGAAAGAGCTTCCCAAAAAGTTTTGGGCAGAGGCAGCCAATACTGATGTGTTTTTGTTGAATAGACTGCCTACAAAAGCAATGAATGGTTAAACACCTTTTGAAGCTTGGTATGGGTATAAACTTTTACTAAAGAATCTCAAGATTTTTTATTGTCTATATTTTTCTCACATACTTCAGCTAAAAAGGGATAAACTGGACAAGAAGGTAGAACCTAGAATTCTCATTGGCTATAGTTTGCAGTCAAAAGCTTATAAAATTTTCCAACCACAGATTGAATTTTTTTTTGTAAGTAGAGATGTGGAATTTGTAGAACAAAAACATGAGATTAGGATGAAGAAAAACAAGAAAGAGAAGCTACTGAGTTTCACAATTTTGAGGAATGAGTTGATCATCCTCTAGTTCGAGGAACCAGATCACTTTCAGATATCTATCAAAGATGTAATGTAGCTGTATTTGAACCTGCTGAATATGTAAATCTAAAAGAGACAAGAAATAAAAAGTTGCAATGCAGGAGGAGCTAATCATGATCGAAAAAAATGACACATAGAAGGTGGTAGAAAGGCCTCTAGACAGAAAGGTTATTGATGTTAAATGAATTTACAGAATTAAGCTAAATGCATATGGTTCAGTGAACAAACACAAAGCTAGGCTTATGGTGCAGGGATATGCTCAGTTTTTTTAATGTAGATTTTTCTGAAACATTTACCCCTATAGCAAGACTTGACACAATTAGACTTCTTTTGACAATTGCAGCACAAAATGGTTGAAAAATCTACCAATTGGATGTTAAATAAGATTTTTTTGAATAGATTCTTGTAGGAAGAAATCTATGTTGAGCAGCCTAAAGGGTTTGTTGCGAAAGGATAGGAAGACGTAGACTACTTGCTGAAAGAAGGCCCTCTATGGATTAAAGCAAGCTCCAAGGGCTTGGTACAGTAGAATCGATGATCATTTTTCTGACTTCCCCAATCAAATACTACAAGAAATAATTCAATTTGAGTCGCAACTCACAATGAAGTAAACTAGCTTCTTTGGAAAATGTCAACACAGAGTTAACCTTAAAGAGGATATGGAGTCACAAATAGGATGAGTGTATCACAATATTGCTAGAAACATTTATCTCAAAGTAAACATATCCTTGACAAATTTCTAGCATGAGCGTATCACTGATTTGAAACGTTGATTGTATTTTGTGCATTTGACGTGTATTTTTTTATTGGGTTAATATCTCAAATGGTCACTCAACTTTGGAAATTTATTTAGAAAAGTCATTGAACTTTGTTTTGTATCAATAAAATCACTCAACTAAGACATTATTGTAGACCTACAATAAATAAATAACTATATAAATGTGTTTTCTGTCTAATTTTTTAAAGATTTTATGACATGCACCTCATGATATAGAAATATAGAATACAATCTAAATGCACGTATTAATACAATAACTTTAATCGCCTAAACCTCAAAATATATAGAAATACAGAGATAGAGTTGAAAATATAGCATTCAACCTAAAAACATGTATGACTACAACTACTACAATCACTTGTACTTTTGAATGTTCACAAATAAATATAAATGATATACAAGTGAATGGATACAAGAGCGAATGAATATAATCTCCTACATATTTTGTGTTTTATTTTATGTCTTTGTATACACCCGTATTGTATTTGTTGATACAACCCAAATGTGTGAACAAATACAAGTGAAATTAGAATAAATGAATACAAGAGCGATGAATTCATAAGTGAAATTAGAGTGAATGAATACAATTTCTTGTATCTTTTATTGTTTGTATCTTTATATACATGTGGATTGTATTTGTCAATACAAAATGTACTTGTTGATACCACCAGTATTCGCCAATACAACCTAACACATATGAATATAACAAATATACCCTACCTACCACCTCAAAAAATATAAAAACGTAGAGGTGGAAATATAGAATACACACACGGAGAGAGAATACAACCCACATGCATGCACAAAGAATACAACAAATACAATCGTTTGACTCAAAAAAATATAGTAGTATAGAGGAAGCGAGTGGAAATACATAATACAACGTAAATACACGAATAATTACAACAAATACAGTTACATGACACCTAAACATATAGAAATATAGAGAGAGAGGTGCAAATACATATATAATAGAGGGTGTGGGGG